ATTACTAGTCAAATTCAAAATAAACACAGTTTGGGCAATGATCCGTGTGTCCAAAACAACCTTCGCTCTGTGCTCAGAATACTGTATCAGTGCTTTGTGCCTCCACTCTGCACTGTAGCACAAAATCATCATGACTACAGTATACCAGTATCCACTATCTGCCCATTACCTGATTGTTGGTGATGTTTTAGTTGCCCAGGCAACTTAGTTAATGCCAGGGACCTGTGACAGACCCTTCAGTTGTTGCACTCTTAGATGACCATTTGTACACTCCACAATGGCTGTTTACCAGGACGTTTAGAGGAGACATCAGTGTTGCAGCTGGAAACAGGCAGGTCACCTCAACTTTCAGGGAATGCAGAGTTAAAGTGGCAGTTTCTAAAAAAGTGAGGATTGAATGCATAACTTTTCTTCTTGAAAAGAAAGCACACCTTGTGCCATTTTTTCTTTAAAGTGGAGCATTTATTCATCTACCTATAATTTTTATTAACCTGTCAGCCAGACTTCATCATGGCCCTGACAGCTATATAATTTGGTTACCTAATAAAAAGTTAAATGTTACAACTGTCCAGAAGGAGAGCAATCAATGCCCTAAAGTAGAAAATACGTTCAGTAGAGAGCAGACTTCCACTAAGGCCAATGTCAAACAACTTACACCAGACTTCAGAGGAAAAAAATTCAAATTCAAAGTAAATGATCCGGATCTGCCCCAAAATATAATGGGTTCTTCCTGGGCCCATGTCCCATACCTTCACTGAGTTCAATGCAAATGGGTTCAGTACTTTTTGCGTAATCCTGCTGAGAGACAAACAAACAAAGCAACCAACAAACAGACACGGGTGAAAGCATAACCTCCTGGGTGGAGGTAAAAATTCAAGGCACGGTCAGAGAGCCCTTTGTGCAGTTTGTGTTTGTCACTGTCGGATTCAGTAAGCACCCCCCCCCCCCCCCCTTTATCCTCTCAGTTAAATGTTACAATTTCAAGATTGAGTCTAGTGATGCAGCGTCACTGATGGGGGCCTCATCAAACAACTGAAGGATGATTTAATCTTAAGGCTAATAAAAGGTGTGCTGGGTCTCTCAGAATTGATTGTCCATTTATTGTCCCATATGTCAGAACCCCTCTTTTAGGCTTGATGGATGTTTTTTTTTCGCATTGGTCAGATAAGAGCCAGTCTATGAGGATCTCTACATTAACAATCGTTTTGTATCTTTTGCTCAACTTGAATTGAAATTTGACCTCCCTATTTGTCACTTTGGTCGTTATCTGCAAATTAGAAATGTTGTCAGGCAGCCTTTACCTCCCTTTGATATGATGAACACAACTTCTGTGACCTTATGACTAGAATCCTTACCACAAAACATTTAATCTCACAATTTGTTGGTGTTTTTCTCGGGTAAACCTTCTCTCCACATTAAAGAGGCCTGGGTCGAGGATACTGATGGGGAGATTTTGGATGAGTTATAGGTGAAAAAGTTAGATAGGATAAAAAGCATGTTCTATCAATGCTAAGGTTAGGGTTCAGCTTATTCAGTTTAAAGTCATCCGTCGTCTGCACTTTTCCAAACCCAAGCTGAACAGGATTTTTCCCTCTGTCTCTGCTTCCTGTGATAAGTCTGAGTCAAGTGATGGGACCCTAGGTCATCCCTTTCTGGTCATGTCCCAGGCTCAGGAGTTTTTGGGATGACATTTTTCATTTGTACAGTGACATATACAGCAGACAGTTAATCCCTGACTGTCTCTTGATGATATTGGGTTACTCCAACTACTCTTTGACTCTTCCTCCTGAATTACAACAAGCCTTCAGGCTTGATATGGCCATAGCAAAAAGGGTTATCCTGAGAGAGCGGAAAGTTTCCCCTCCCTGCTTTAAGAAAATGGCTATACGGCATGTGTTCTGTCTATACCTTGAAGAAATTTGGGATACGCTGTCCAATGCCCACCCCAAGTTTCTTAAGATTTCATTGAACGTATTAGGAAGGAGAGGTGTCGAGCTGGGAGTTAATCAGGCTGTTCTATAATGTTCTGAGCTCTGATCCGTCAGCATTTCTTCTTTCTGGCCTGTGCCTTGGACCTTCCTCGTTGTCACCTGGTATTAGCTCCGTGGACTCTGTTTCTGACCTTTGCTTTTTTCATAAGCAGTCCCATCACTTTTCAAATGCACTTCAGTACGTACAACAGTAAGTTGTTGAGCAGTTGAGTCTTCAGGTTTCAAGCTGCTGCTGTCACGTTCAGTTGAATACAAAGCTAACCTATACCGGTGCAACACATAAGGTTAAAAGCTGTGCACTATTTATAACTGTGTTACTACAGACTATGATTGTTTCTGTGGCATTCACAGTCTTGTAATAGACTTTAAACGAGGAAATAACAAACTGTGAATTACGGCTGAGCTGACAACGGCACCCAGTCAGTGGAGCTCCACTGCTCAAAGCTACTGAGTTGGTCAGTGTTGATTCTGTCCAGTCAGTTTATTTTGCAAATGTATTTATAAAGATTAGTTCATACATGTATCGAACACCTCCAGTGTGGCCATCAGGAGTGGTGACATTACTAGTTTATAAATGGTTTTTTCATTATTATTATTATTATTAATAAAATATTGATATCTTTACATGTAATGGCTTTGATTACAGTGACTTTTATATCTTTATTTATTCTTTTAAAATGCTTTCATTGCCTTTTATATATTTGTTTTTAGTGTCTTTCAGCTGTTATTGGTTTTGTTTGTTCACTTTTATCATTTATGTGCATTTGTCTTCAATCATTTAACTGTTTATATTTATACCGTCTTATTATCAAGTCGTTCGACTGTAGAACTAGTATGAAAGATTCTATACAAACTAAGTTTGATTGATTGATTGATTGATTGATTGATTGACAGTGGGGAAACAGAGACCCTACCTGGTCATGGTGCAACTAAATCAATATGTACTATTGCCCATTTCATTTTAAGAAGTGTACTCTCATTCATTTGCCTTCATATGTTTGTGCAACTTAATCAACATAAATGTGCCTGAGTTTCACTCTTGACTTTGGAAACAGTAGGTGACCAAACATTCTCAACAACAAGGTCGACTTACTCGCTTGCTCTGGAGCTTGTGATTGAATTACAAAGTCCTCATCCATATATTTAGTTTGCTCACTTGCCATGGAATTATACGTTTTTCAAACATCCCATGATTAATGTAAAAGTTGAGCTTGTCAGTTCACTCCAGAATGAAGACATTCAGACATATTTTGACATATTTTAAGACCATTACATTCTAGGGGTGACCTCACTTATCCAGTATTAGTGCCAAGTCAAGTAGTGGAGTGTCAGTGCCAAGCACACCAGGATTAAATTGTTGCTGCCTCTTTAAAAATCAGTACTATATGATATACGGCACAAACCAAATCCAACATGCAAGCTAAAATAGTCAAGTTGCCACCCTGCGAGAGAAACGTGGACGCACACAGTCATATATGCTGAGCTGCAGGTGTACCGCTGCACACAAGTCTCACATAGGATAAAAAACTCAATGACAGACCATCATTAATTTCAGCTCATTTAAAGAGTTTCTCAGTGTGCAGGATGTTGTGAGGCATTTGTGTTAATGAGCTACATCATTCATGTGAAATGATGGCACAATTAGGAAAACAAAAGTGCAAGGTGTGACAATTTAAGTGAATGTGCTTTGTCAGTGTCTGCAAACAACACCTCAGAGACGGTATATGCATAAAAGCCGGCTTATAAAGACATTGCGGGGGGTTTTAGAGGTCAGGATTTTCACCGACAGATTTTTACCTTGCTATTCTGCACCCTAACCGTGTTCCCACAGGAGTCTCTGTTGAAACACTGTGGCAGGAAATGAAATTAAAGCTGCTGAATACAGATGTTTTGATGAGTTGCCCGTGTGCTCGACTGTGTCTGTGTGTGTGTGTGTGTGTTTTTTTGAGAGGAATGCACATTAACAAAAATACAAACTGAAAAGCGGAGGGCTGCCAGCCGTGTCACAGCGACGCCGAACATTGTCGGAGTTGCATAAACGTTCTCCTCTGTGTTTCTCTCCTCCCCTTCTGAAAGTGACTCACCTTGGGGATCAAGAGGCTTATATGAAAGGTGACTTACAGTATGAAGAAGCACTGTCTCTGTTTATGTAAAGAAAGCAAAGTTCTCTGCTTCCCTCATGTCGAAGCTTCTAGTGTTTCTCTTTTCCTCTGACCTCTTTCTTTCCGCACCGTTGTATCTGCTGGTCATCCAATTTACCTTTTTAACTCGAAACAGCAGAAGGTTTCGCCCGCTCTTCTGTCCACAGATGTTTCAACGGCCTTATGTAGCATTGTCAGACTCATTAGTTATACTCAGCCCATGTGGTGGTTGGGAGCCAACCACTCAGCCTAGCACGTAATGCAGCTTTAGTGAACTAATGAAACTGTAATTACAAAAATAATGAGGAACATGCTGTATCGTCCAGTAACTTTGGGGCTAGTTATTTGTGAGCATGAATCATCGTGTGCAGAGTTTCCTCTTTAATTTTTTATGAATTCTGATACTTTTCTACTCTTGCAGTGTTGTGGAATGCACAGGCAGAGCACTTCCCAGCTTCTTCTGTGAATTTCAGACTGTAGGGAGCAATATCCCACCACAATGTGTGTTTCTATGATGTATTTGCGATGTATAACGAGGAACAGTGTAGGCTAAGGTCCATTTCCTGTGCTACTTATGAAGTTATTGTCCCCAGCGGGCCTCATTTAGCAAAGTGTAGGCTACGGTGAGCCACGTTTAGTATCCCTGATACACTCAGTTGCCGCAAAGCGCGGCAGCAAAAGAACAACACATTATAGTCACACCGCACACAGATTTGCATTTACATAGGGAGAACTTGTAGAATGTGCTGAGCCTATCAACTTGAACTCATTAAAGCCCCTCGTCTTTCTTTACACAGTGGAATCAAACTGTGGACTCTGCTGAAACTTTTAAATTTATGATTTTTTTTTCTTTGCCTTTTGATTGCAGCTACACACAGACTTGGATGTGGGCAGCAAGAACATCAAGTATGTCCTAGCGGGTGAGGGGGCAGGCACCATCTTTGCCATCAACGAGTTAACAGGTGACATCCACGCCATGAAGAGGCTGGACCGCGAGGAGAAGGCCGAGTACACACTAACAGCCCAGGTCATTAATGCCGATACGGACGAGCCCTTGGAGCCACCATCCGAGTTCATCATCAAAGTCCAGGACATAAATGACAATCCGCCGCAGTTCATTGAAGGCCCGTACCGAGCCTCTGTTCCAGAAATGTCTGCTGTTGGTAAGTCACAATGGACAAGACTTTATTTCTGGTCTGTGCTGCACGCAGCCGCCTAATCAGTGTGTGAGATTTCTAAGACGGCTGATGTCTAATGGGCTATTGCATAAAAAATAATGAGTGAATAACAGCAAGAGGAAATGAGTATGCCTATTTACAAGCCTGCCCGCCAAAAGTATCTCAGCATATGAAAATACAAGAATGATAAATCAAATCAAATCGCTAGAACTTCACCCGTAGCTCAGTGCTGCGACTGAACAACTGGCTTCAGTGTCAACACACACCAAACAAGGCGGCCTAATGCTAATGTTACATCCTCTACAAACAGCCCACTCACAAAGAAGTCCAACTAACAATATGCAAAACATGTTCCAAGCAGCCTTATGTTGTAAATTTAAAATAGTCACAACACAAGGAAAGCAGGAGATGCCAAACTATAAAATTCTTTCACACACACAAGAAGTCAAAGACAAGTTGTGCAGAAGGTGAAAAAGCGCCATTAGTGCATTTCTGACATACTTTAGTTACAGCAGCATGTGTGCTGTGGATACTTCACTTGCTGTTCTGGCAAGGATTTAAAAAATGCTATATTTCACTCAGTGTAGGTCAAGGGCCATGCTATGTTATGGTGTGGACCATTTGGGGATATGTGGAATCTTTAATGCTTTCTTTAACATTTTTATGTGTGCAGTCAGTTAAGTGATAGAAGCTGGTGATCACTACGATCAAATATTTATGGAAAGATTAGAAGGCTGAGACTGAAATATTTCATAAATGACTGGACTACTGCAGCTGTAGGAACTACTGTGCACTACCCTATTATGTAGAATTGGGCATTTAACTCTTTTTTTTCCTTACAGCTTAACAAACCTCACCAGAGAAAAATCTGCACATAGATAGTTTTTAATTCTAGATTCAAGCGTTTCGCTGTAATTATAGACAAAGCAGAAGAAGCCAAACAAAAGCACATAAAAGGGTTTTTTTGCATTTACACTCACAAATTGTTAGCACCACACTGTCACTTAGTTTGACAGCGCTGACTGATGCTAATTGCCACAAGCTACCGTTCTACAAGCCCCCACAAAACTGGTACACAAACCACTGCAAACACTTTCCATTTGACTGTATGCTAATGTATTCATATATTCACATTCTCATTGCAGCCATGCATTTAAATGACCGCTGCGTGATGATCACATCATTCAAATGTATAGCTCATCTAGGACGGGCAGAAAGGCCAGCATGTGGATCAGTACACTGTGTGTGTGTTTTTGATTTTTTTTTTTTTTTTTCGTCAGGGGAGCCTTTGCCACTGACCCCAGAGCAGCAGGAGTCTTGTAGGAAATGTAGCAGGAAGGAGATCAGAGTGTGTCTTTATGCCGTTTTGACATTGGTGGGGTTCAGCAGGGGTGCCGAGGTCTGTTGTTGGGCGGTATGCGCTTGTTATTGTGTTTTTCTCATCGAGCTTCCTCTTGTTACCTGTCATGAAGCTGACATAACATGCCAGGGCAGATGGTGTTAGGTATGTAATGGAATCTGTTTCGTAAATCCCATCTGTAGGTTGCAGCCTCTCACTCGTTTCTTTGAGGTTACAGTGATTTCAGAGCTTTGAATCCTCATGATCATTGCGGCTGATTCTTATTAGCTGCTGCTGCTGCTGCTGCTGCTGCTGTTGCGGCTGCTGCTGCTGCCGTGGCTGCTGCTGTTGCGGCTGCTGCTGTTGCGGCTGCGGTGGAAACAAAAAGGAACAAAACACAATGCAAAAGTATCCATGTAAACACAGAATAACAGTGAACTCTCGCTGTCTGAACTCTGTTACTTGATCCCTGCTGCTCATTGTTTTGGATCTCAGTTGAAATGTACTGTAGCTCTCCAAGGGGTTTTGTCAGTGCAGTGCGGGGACAGCCAATAGTGATGGGGGTAGAGAGGAAAGTGGTAGTTGACAGCACTCTGTGATTTGCCAGTGGGAATAATGCATAAGAAATAAGCGTCTCTTTGTTGACTGTTGTTCCCTTTTGTCACTACTGATTAATTAAACATTCACGAAAGCTCAGTTGTTTGCTTGAAAGGCTTTTCTTTCAGCAACTAGTTTTCCTCTTGTTAAGTTTTCATGTGCTGCAGCATTACAGGGAACAATCGGAGGCTCTGGACAAACCAACACTAAGTCATTCATCTCTCTCGCCTCATATTCATAAATCACCGGTTTCTCCACCGTGATGTTTCATCTTTATCGCACTGAAATGAGAATTTGTGCAGGACTCAGTGGATTACTGGAAGTGTGCTGAGCAGTGGGTAACTAATAAAGTCCACGGGAAAGGGAGCCTAAAATAAGTTGGGTTGCACACGACCAAATCTCAAGGAGAAAACGGGAAGCATTAAAATGTAATTATGACACGTGCTAAGAGATGCCGCATTATGTATGGCGTTGAGTTCAGACAGTGCTGAGTGTGCTCATGTATGAATCCACCTGCATCAAATAATCAAAAGAATCTAATCCACTGACGATGTTATCCACTGGCTTGTCAGCTCAGCTCCAGACTTCATCAATGTCTTACCGGCTCCTCCGCTTAACAAGAGTGTATCCGTGCGGTATCAGCGAGACCACGGACAAATATCAACACCCACCTTTTATCTATCAGGCACTATACGGCAAGATAGAAAACCCCTCCTCATTGAATGTCACCATCCCCCATAGGAAGCGGTCTCCACAGCCGGATGAGATATGTGACATGGGCCGCTGAGGTCACCATGTTTCCTGTGTGCGGAGGAGCATAGAGGTTAATGGGAAATGAAGGAGAAAGACCTTTTGTTCTTCCTTTAAAAGGGCCGGTCGGATAAGACTTGTGGCTTTCTGTGACTTTTCTCTGACTTTCATTTTCCTGAATGGCTGAGAATGGAGGTGACTACCATTTTAATTGTTTAGTGGACTGTCTCTGAAAGTACAGTGCAACAATGAGAGGAAGTGGAGAGGAGAGGTGGTGGCTGTGCAGGAGGAGAGGACAGTCAGAATAGAGTTTGATCTCACCAGTGATCCATTATTATTACAAGTCTGTCTTTGGTTGAATTAGTGTTGCTATGCGGTGCTGTCGTCGGGAGAAAAAAAACATACATGTATGCATGTATGTATATATAAAGTAGTTAGTTAACGAGCTCAGCTAACGAGCCGGGTATTGTGAGCGCAGACACCGATGCCTGCTAAATTAGTGCTAACATTTAAATTAAATAATGTAATATCGCTCACCTCAATATACAGGAGCACAGACTTCCTCATGCTCTGTTCGTCACATAACCACACAGTTATTATTTGCATGAAAATATCAGTCAGTCAAAGTGTCCACACCCTCAATTATGCATAACTTTAAACATTAACAAAATTAAAATTTGCGAGTCGTATAAAAATTCACCCTCTGCACAGTTGTCATTCACAAAACACGTTTATGTCTGGTGTAAAGTTGAACATTTTAAGCGGGAATTGACTCACTGTTGGAGCCAGCCTCAAGTGGCCATTCGAGGAACTGCAGTTTTTGGCACTTCTATGTTGGTTCCATGGTTTTTTTTTGTTTTTGTTTTTTTGCCGCTTGGAAAAAACGTATCTCCAAAATGTCAACTTTTGAATAACTGAGGATAAGAGATGTGTTTTGAGGCTGCATTCATTGTTAAATTGCAATTTTTATGGTGCAGCAAAATAAGGTAACATAACATTAAGATTATGAAGTTATTATGGTGAATGTGTCAGAAACCAGTGTCATATTTACACATTCAGCAGACACACAGCAACATTAGCATTCGTTTGGAGTCACGTTTCAAGCCAGGTGACAAATGTAGGTCAGATTTTCACTCTTTTTTATGATCTGTTTTAGTTTCTGTGCACCATTACCTGACAAACAAACAAACAAACAAGCAAACAAACAAACCAAAAAAAAAAAAAAAGAGAAAAACTTCATGCTGGAGTTGTATGTCTGCCAATTTGTAAAAAAAAAAGCTGGAAATGAGGAAATGAGGTTGTGGGTTTGAAACTCAAGGCTTGGTTAAAAAAACCAAGACAGAGACTTAACAGAAGGTAAGTGCAGTGACTGGAGAGCTCAGAGACACTGCAACTAAATAAATTCTGGCTTTGTAGCTGCCCAGGCTGCAGTCACTGCACTGTGGTTTGGTAATCTGTTTGCTGTAGGACTTGTCAACGTGCTTACTGCACTCTCTGCCACAGAGAAACTGCTAACTAGCTAATTGAATGGGGCTATATCAAGTGAAATTGTTTGGTTATTCAGTTTGTTATTCTGCAAAATTTAATTGACTAATTCCATTACACATGTAAAAGCCCAACAAGGGACAGGAGTCGAGAATTAGCGATACCTATAAACTCTTTGTGCAACACATTAGTTTCATTCACCGTTTTGCAACTATGTGAAATTGCATTGTCCTTATCAAATAAATAAATAAAATAAATAAACTAAAAAAAAGAAATAATGCAACGGAAAAATCAATTCATGAAGAAAACAACAGCTAAAGTATGTGATATGATGTGGTTAGCCTATCATTGAATTATATACTTGGATAAATTGAAATACATTTTTTTAAATTAATTTCAAAATTTTTGACTCAGACAGAGAAACTTCTGAAGCCAAAAACAGAAATACTTGATTCCTACGAGCTGCAGACTATAAATAATAATCAAAGTGAAGTTAATTCTCTTAAACAAACTAGTTCAAAGAGAGTCAAGTCAAGTCAGCACACTTTTCATATAAGTCTAGGTTCTACTCTTAACAATATTATTTACAGAGGCCCAAAACTATGCCATAAGCAAACTCTTGATGACAGTAGCAAGGAAAAACTCCCTTTTAACAGGTAGAAACCTTGAACAGAATCGGGGTCCATGCGGGTGACAGTCTGCCTCGACCAGTTGGGTTGGGAGAAAGAGAGAGAGATGGGTGGGGGGGTGGGGGGACATAGCTCAGTGTGGGTACACATTGAGATGGATAATAATAATAATAACAGGACAGAGG